GGCTCGGGGGAGCGGTGGGCTGCGGCGCCCTGCCCAGCCCAGCCCTGCCCACGTTGCCCCGAGGTTGAAATGCAGAAGTCAAGGCTCTCTCGCCAGGAAGCAGATTTCCTTGTAGCCCTTTTTCCCCCTAACGCCTCTGCCGCGGAGATCCGAGAGCCTCGGGGGCTAGCGCAGCGCGGAGTCTGTCGCTGGACATAGGTCTCCGTTTGGGATTTAGGGCAGCCCGAGGGGTGTCCTGCTCAGAGGAATGGGTAAGTGGCCGGGAGCTGCAGGAGGGTTCAAGTGCTGTCAAGAGAGGGGGAGCACCCGTGCGCCGTCATGTGCCGCAGCTCCCGTGTTGACTTTGCTCGTGTTCCTACAAGTTGTAAGAACGCGTGCGGGGTCGGGAGCAGGGAGGAGAGAAGAGCTAATGACTGCTCGGTTTATTATTAATGTTGTTAGGCGGGTGCAAGGCAGGATCGGAGGCAAGTGGATGGCTGGAGCCTGTGGGCACGTTGTATATTATTCCTGACACCGATCTTAGCAGTTAACATTTTAGCACGTTTGTTTTACAGCCTGGTGTAACCGTGCTGTTAAGCGAGAGGCGCTAACAGCACCAGAAACGATCTTTAAAAAGTTAGTCGCGGCTCAGAAGCACCGCGTTGCCCTTGCCTCTCCCCAAGATGTAAAAGAATTTCCTCAACTACTTTTCCTTCCTCTCCCTCCCCCACGTCTTCGAAAATGTTTTTTTTTTCTTTTCTTATTTTCCTTTTCTTCGTGTTCCTTTTTCCTGTGGCAATAAAGCTGACTTGTCTGTTGGGGCGATCTCGTTTTTCATCTCTGGAATGTGCTTTTTTGGAATATGCTTGATGCACAGTCTGGAGAGCTCCGACATTGGTTGCCACGGGCTTTCTTTCTTTCTCTCTCTCTCTCTTTTAAATTTTCTTCCTCCCTCTCTCTTTTTTTTTTTGCTTTGCCTTTTTTCCCTCCAATTTTGAGAACATCCCGCTATTAGAAAGAAGCGAGCGTGGGGTGGCCGGGGGGTCCTCGAGCCATGACATCTGTTCAGACGCCCCCTTCTGAGCCATTCGCCGTGTCCGACGGGTGTGTTTGTGTGTTTGCTTGCAGAACCTGCCTTCGGGGAAGTGAACCAGCTCGGGGGGGTGTTTGTCAACGGGAGACCCCTGCCCAATGCCATCAGGCTGCGGATTGTGGAACTGGCGCAACTGGGGATCAGGCCGTGTGACATCAGCCGGCAGCTCCGCGTTTCCCACGGCTGTGTCAGCAAAATCCTGGCTCGCTACAACGAGACCGGCTCCATCCTACCGGGGGCAATCGGAGGCAGCAAGCCTCGGGTCACCACCCCCACGGTGGTAAAACATATCCGGACCTACAAACAAAGGGATCCGGGCATCTTCGCCTGGGAGATCCGGGATCGCCTGCTGGCCGATGGCGTGTGTGACAAGTACAACGTGCCGTCGGTCAGCTCCATCAGCCGCATCCTCCGGAACAAAATCGGGAACCTGTCTCAGCAGAGTCACTACGAATCCTACAAGCAGCACCAGCCGCCCCCACAACCCGCTCTGCCCTACAACCACATCTACTCCTACCCCAGCCCCATCGCCACGGCAGGAGCCAAGGTCCCCACCCCTCCCGGGGTGCCAGCGATCCCCAGCACCATGGCCATGCCCAGGACGTGGCCGTCCTCCCACTCGGTGACGGACATCCTGGGGATCCGGTCCATCACA